CCTTAGGGGGAGAGAATAAGGTGGTACTCTGAAACCGGTTCGACGAACTGTAGTACCCCGCAATCTTTGCTTTTTTGTACGTTATCAACGGGGCGGAAATCTATTAGCAAGACAATACAGTTACTTTGTATTTTTTGAACTCGGCCGGCTTTCTATCTTTTGCTCTCTTACTCTCAGTTATCGCTTTTTTCGAACCAAAATGAACGAACTTCATTTGAGAACTTGTGATCTGTCATAACGATAAACCTGTAATTGACAGAACGGCCCCAGTGACTCCGAAATATTTCAAACGAGGCCCATTTTAGCATACTCACTCACGCTGTTGGAATTTAGTTTAGATAGACGAGCACTGCACAAGCATATTGACATGGCAGTGGTTCCTATTTCGCCTTTCTTTGTTCCTAACTAAAAACTTTCCCCCATTTAGCTAGTAGAATGGTAGTCTACAGTGTATTTAAACCTAGACTACAATAATATGTAACCCTACGCGATTGCGAGGGTCACTGCTGGAATCCGGGTGAAGGCTGAAGACCCCTTCATCTTAACACACGCTACCAGTAACCAACCGTTTATCGCAAAAATAGAAATCGGTTTATTAACTGATCAAAGCCCTTACTTTGATATTAAGCCTGAGCGTTTTCAATTTTTGCGACAAGTTTACAAATGAACCGTATTCTATGGAGTACATTGATTGGTACCGGTTTAACTTGAAGATGTCATATCTAGCTCGCAGAAGAATTGTTTTTGTCGTCTTGTTAATGGCCGACGAGGTGTGATAAGTATATATTGTCAGCATTTGGTGAGCTCGGAGAAAACTGAGCGTTCGTATTTAAGTAGGCTAAGTTTGTATTTAGAACGCTTACGCGTTTACCTACTGCTAACTGTCATCTGCAAGATATTCGCGCTATTTTCTGAAACCCTGTTGAAGACCCACGGCTCGTAAAGTTCGTCATATATCACTCCTACTCCCATTCCTCAAGACAGGTAGATTTACATAAAGCATTCACATATCTGAATCCCTGAGATAATTTCTTTGACTTTGGGACCCATTAGAAAAGAAGGAGAATACGATAAGATAGATTGTTTGTTTGTTTTAATTCTGACAATGTGGTGAGGGGATCTTTCACCGAATCTCATTCTACCGAACTATCCGCCCGTCACCGCCCTTAGCAGTGTCAAAGAACATTAATTAATTAGTCTGACAGACCCCGCGAACCTCGTTCCTTCTCGAAGCTTCCTTATTCAACGGTTGTAATTATTGGAACCCTGGTGCACGTCAGATGACAGAAAAGTCAACAAGACCGTTTTGGATATATATAGTACAAGGTCCTACAAAGCAGGTCAACTGAGAAGGTTCGTACTTGCAAGGATCAGTTAATAAGGGTTAGCCGGAGCGGAGGCTATTGATAGTTCCATATCCTGCTGAAACTTTGACAATGCGGGTGTGTAGTCGGATTGATCACAAGTGATAGCAGAAAAAACCCAAACCCTTGACTCGAAGACCTTGTTTACTTGTGATTGATCCGGTTCCTTCCGGATAGGGCGAATTCGCAATGTTAAGTATTCATGGCCGATTTATCGCCTACAGATTGATTCCATTCAAGGGGCGGTTATGTCTGGTTTGAGTAATAGAGTTTAATTTAGAAAAAGGATCTTGTTAAATCAGTGCACGGATCTCGAGTGATTTTGCAATCACAGAATTTTGTAACCTTTGCGCTTGAATGGTTCCCAATATCGTTCGTCCCCTATGAGCTTGTAAACGTGTCAAGTAGATCCGGTATGCTTTGATCGACGTCTTGCGTATAAGCAATCACCTGAAGAGATGTATCAGCACACAATTGACGACAAATTGATAATGGACCTAAAAGAATGTAATCCCGAAATATAGCAAGAGAAATTTCCTACTTTTGCAATATTTTCAACCCCGTAAGACAGAGAATCTTTTTACAGCGCTTCCCGTCAACTTGTTCATGATAATGTTGTTGTGTGTATTATCATATTCCAAGCGTTTTCCAGTAATATTATCCTCTAGAGCATGAAAGCAGCTTCTAGGGAATTTTCCAGTTCTTTGTGGTTAAGATGATTACAGCCGATCAGAATTGTGATGGGCTGTAGTGTGATTGATATAATAGAGAAATCAAAAAAGTAATACTTTGAAAGGAGAGCTTATTCCACCTGAACTGATTCATCTGCATCATTATTCGAAGCGCATCGGGCACTGTTGACCATTATGGCTGAGTGCGAATATCGATGACAACCCTTTTCCCTGCCGCTTTGACGACCTCGTTCAAGTTTTTTTGCAACAATCTTTTCGTCGTGGCAAACATTTTGAGATTATCTCAAACCGTTCAAATGTGAAAACACTCGCCCTATTTATAATCAAAACGAGCTTCTTTTGAAAGATGTGAAAAAAGACGTACAAAGGCCACACGTCGGATTAAAGGACGTCGAAGGGTTCTCAATCTTCGGAACTCAGTGTGAGTCTGTCCATTTTATTTGTATCTATCGTTTGACATCGTTCGACAAGCCAAACTCCATGGTAATGTGAAAAGAGCCGTCAGTGACGTGGTGACGTGTGAGATAGGTATAATTTATGACAAAAGTATAATTTTCCTAAAAAAAAGAGTATTAAACAAGCTAAATCGAACACGTACGGCCAAGTACTTGGAGTACTAATAAGGTCAAGGAGCCGAGCAAAATTGGTCATACAGTTTACGTCATTGCTATCCGTGACACTGTGACACGTGACGCGTTGACAATAAAGGGCTGTTCAACGTCAGAACCTCATTTGCCGGGCCCGTTTGTTACATCGCTTTTCTCACCTCAAGACACAGAGAAGACATTCTCGATTGCTTGAGGATGATATCTACTCAAAGAGACACAATGACACCGGACTCAAACGAGGACATTAACCTGGCTTCCCCATTGACGTCGTCATTTCAAGATCAATTCGTATCAACCGCCAGACGACACCATGATCTATGGTATGTTACGAAAACTCTTGGACATGATGGCGCTGTCAGAATTGGTCGTAATTGGTGTTACTGACTCGTGTAATGCTTCAGGTTTGATGATGGCAGTATTGTTCTGCGCGCAAACAACCCAACAACGCTATTCCGAGTGCATCGTGCAATGTTAGCTCGCCATAGTGAAGTATTTCGGAATATGTTTGCTATTCCACAACCCCAATCACAACCACGGGCACGTACGATATCAAGCCAGGAAAGTCGAAGTGGAACTGGTAAGGAAAATGAGTTATCGTAGTAATGTGGATCTTATAAAAACATTACTACCAGGCACACAGCATCACAAGCTTTCTTTGTCCGTCGATTTTGTCAAGGAACCGATTAAAGAGGTTAGAATGATGGGTTCGCTATCACGACGTCTGTCAGTTATGGGTGCAAAGACAGATTCATTAGGACCTTTAAAAACGAATGAGAAAACGGAAGGTGGGCATGTGCTATTAAAGAGTGATACTTTTGGCGATATCGACGGAGCTTTGCAAAATAATTCCAAGGAGGATGATTTCGACGACGCTAAGGCCGAGATTATTGAAGGATGCGAAGTGATCGATATGTATGACTCGTCCCAAGATGTAGCAAGTCTCCTGCATGCCTTATATGATGGACCGTAGGTTTTTTTATAGCTTTCCCATATGAATATTTTTTTGATTTTCGCCGTTTCACAGCCAATGGTCGGATAATTCACCAGCTGACTTTTCAATTGTTTCTGGTGTGCTGCGGTTGGCGCACAAATACCTCATAGATGTTTTGCGATCAAAAGCTCTGGAACATCTTCATCAGGCTTGGCCAATGTCATTGCAAGGTTGGGATCTGAGAGAAGAAATGGTTCGGGAACGGAGTGGCTTGGGTAATAACGTTGGTAGCAAAGGACTTGAAAATGAGTGTCACCCTGGTCAAAGTGTAACAACGATGACTGGTGAAGGAAGATTTCCACATCCTATCGTACGTCTGCTTCTTGTCAGGGCTTTTGAGATTTTTTAAAATAATGTTTTTAAGCGTGTTATAAATCTTGCACGCATTGCAAATGCTCCTTCTCTTCTTCCTTCGGCCTTCTACGAATTATCTCGCCTCACCTTCTCTCAAATTTTTGAAGGAATGCAGACTTTTCATTTAGTATCAAACGCAGAAATGACACTTTCTCCATCTGACGTTCAAAAACTTTCAATGGGAAAAGAACAAAGTCATCAAGCCGTAACTTCTCTGATCACCAACCTTGGAAATGTACGTTGCTCAATGACAGGAGGTGGTGGTGTAAGTGGTGTAAAGATGTGGTCTTGCGCTTTAGGATACGGACACAATTATTCTCCTCAAAGTTTGATCTTCAATCCCTCTTCTTCGGTACCCCAGAAATTCCACCATTCACATAGTCATTCCACTTGTCATTCACCGGTCTCTTGTCGTAAAGATTTCGCGGAACTCGTCGAATTGGCAACGCAGCATTATCTCTTTGATAGAGAGAGGGGTCATACGGATCCTTTATACGTGGCGGATGAACTGGGTCAATTGAAGAGTGCAGAATATTCAGAATGTAGAGCTTGCGCCGTAGCGTTGGAATGTTGGAGCATGCGCGAACGGGAAAGAATGTGGAAAGTGTTACCTGCGTGGTTCAGGCTCGGTTCAGGATGGGAGAGTTTGACGTGAATTTCGAACGATTTCGCAAATTTTCATGGAGGAGAAAGCTGTTTCGGACATTATGTAGTTTTTTGTTCGTGCTAGCTTGCTAGTATTATTATATCCTGATTGTATTATTACCATGATGTACGGTGTATGTCGAACACAGGGCCAATGTCAGAGTTATCGAGATTGCTTTTGAGCATTTGCTTTGCCTGGAAGAAATACCAATGGATCATGTTTCTATAATCTTATTGTTTTAAAAAAGGGTATCAGGGAAACATCCAAGGAAAATAATATGTCAGTATACATTAACACCGTTTGGTATATAACAACCATGATTAACGTTAAAAGAGAAAAAAGGACGGGCCTAGCCGGGAATTGAACCCGGGACCTCCTCCATAAGCCGATCCCCGAAGGCACCGTGACCCTAAGAAGGAATCATACCTCTAGACCACCAGGCCGTTGAAAGTCCCCACCTCCATGGTCTTCATGTCAGAAAGGTTTGTATTTTATTTACAGCTGGGTATATCGGAGTTTGTACTTTGACGGGCAACTGTATTTAAAGCGTTTGACGCTCTATCTAAAGATGGCACCGACTATAACTAACACACAAATTTCGTCGACGACAAAGTCGAAGTCTAGCAACAAATATAATGTTAACACCGGTTCCTCTTTATCTAAATCTACTTCATCTTCGAGCAAAATACCCGATAGAAAGTCGAATATCCGTGTAAACACAAGTCAGAAGGCGAAATCGGAAATTGACAGCATTTTCTCTCTCACACATACCGTACAGCAGCGCGATGTCGGTTTATCTTCGGCGGTGGAAGTAAATGGGGAATCGTTCTCAGGAAAAAAGAAGAGGAAGAAGGGTAAAGACAAGGATAAAGAGGAGACAGTCAGGAAAGAGAACAATGAGGAAGAGGAATGGTCAGGGTTCGGTAACGATGAGGTTTCGAAACATAACTCGATGACAATAAGAAAAGTTGAAACCATTGTTGATCCATCTTCTGTATCCTCCTTTAACCCCAAGAAACGAAAACGCGACGTCCTTTCATCAACTACCAAAGCCAAAACACAGGAAGATAGCGAGCGGTTTCAAGATTCAAGAGGAACTGGACCGCGTATGTGACTCGTATGCCATTTGGTGGAGAGTGTGATTGACTGATATCGATTACGCTATGCAGGTCGTCGAACGGAAGAAGGGTATGGTATATACAAAGAAGACGAATTAGGCATAAGTGAAGGTGGTGGTGGTAAGTTTCTTTATTCTTACGTTAGTTAATGATGTTTTCAACTTACGTTATAAAGACACTCCTCTTTGTCCTTTTGATTGTAATTGTTGTATGTCTCAACCGATGCTCTTAAGCCGCATTAATGTGTTAACGTTCATATAGGTTTTTGATACCACTTCATATCATGCTATTTTTCACCGAAGCAGTGACGCTCAAGTTGTGATGTTTGTCTTGGCCAAGACTAGAAAAAAGACCCTTAAAACCTTCCTCGATTTCTTTCCTTTTCCCATCCTGGCTCTATCGAAGCCCCACCTCAGCGTCTTATTGACGAGACAATGCGTTGATGGGGTCAATATGTAGCCAAAATTAACGAACGAGAGAAATCTTTTTGGGTTTTTCTTCTTCTCTCGCTTTGATCAGACAATGCCCGTGAATTGTAAAATTGGGATCGTGCATGTTTTGGTTGTTTGACTGTCTTGTCGGTAAGAGATACATTTTATATCTTGGCAGTTGCGGTTTGGAGTCCCGGAAGTGATCTTATCACTTGTTATATGTATATTTGTCTATCGAACTGAAATAATAAATACGATGAATGAAAAAAAGATGAATCATATAATTTTTTAAGGGGGGCGGGTTGGTTCATGATAAGCCTACAGTTGGCGGGACCTGCAAAAAATCGACGTTCCACCAAATTTTTGGGCAACGCATTCTAAGGAAAGAGGATAGGGCCAACTTCCTCATTGGTGCAATATAGACAGTGCTAATGACCCACAATTAATCACCCGGGATTTGGTCTTATGTTACCCGGTTTCTTCCTATTTCAACTCCAGGGAAGATAGATCCGAACTCGAGTCATAACTCACAAATTGTATTCTACATTTTATCGACAACAAAGGTATAAATACATGCAGTATAACATAACATCATAACGTAAACAAGGTCCATAGATGAACTCGAGAGGTATGAAAGGAATGGAATAAAACCTAAGATAAGACAAACAACCCAGTAGAAAAGAAAAGTGACAAACGACATACAAAAAAGAAAAACCATATGTACTTCCAACTAGGACTAGGCGAAAACCCATTGCCTCCTTCGCTGGTCCCGCGCAGCCCCCGAGCGAGGGACACGAATCCTGTCATACTGGTATTCGTATCCACCACGACCATTTTCGAACTCTCGTCGTCTCGGACCTGAACGTGGAATAAAGATGTATGAAGCAGCATTACCTGTTACCCCAGTTGCTGTCGTTGCCGAAGGGGCCGTTGCAGTTACGGTAGGAGGTTGGAGATGTGTTCCGGTTTGGGTATAAGTTTGAGTTTGAGTTTGGGTATACGTTTGAGTCTGGGTTTGACTATCATCATCGTCCGCTGCCCTCCTCTCACGTTGTCCAACATTCCTATACACCCTCTCCCCGTTTCTTTCTCTCCCGCCATTACCTCTTCCACCACGTCCACCATTCCTTTCCCAGCCTATTCCTGATTGTGAATCATCACCATTAAATCTAACGGGAATAACGACTGGTTCAGCATCTTCAGGGATATCATATGGATACGGGATGAACCCTGCCGGCGGTGCCTGTCCTGCTGGAAGAGTTATAAAGTCATAATCCCTGTTTGCGTAGGCAAGCATTTCATCAGGATTATTGAGAGATTGTTGAGTGTACATATCGTCACCATCGGCCGGATTGACATTACTATCATAGGGAGGTTGAGAGAACGAAGGAGTTGGTGAAAGTGGTTCGTTTGGGTTAGGATTAATGGGCGCGTTGGGATCAGAAGTTGTTGGGGGGATATTTGTAAATGTTTCGGGTTGATTTTGACTTGGTCCATCACCACCATCAGTGTGATGCTCATGCCCATGTTCATCTCGTCCACCAGGTCTCAAGCTCTCGGGTACAGCTCCAGATCCAGTAACCACACTATTGCCTGCCTCTTCCTCTCTTAACCGTCTTTTCATTTCTCTCAACCTCGACCCACTAGGAACACGTGGTAAGGGGTTAAACGGTGGTGGTACTCCCGGATCAGGAACCGAATTCGCGAGTAATGGTGAACCCAAGGTAGGATCCGGCTCACGTCCACGTCGTCTAGCATTAATCGTTCTGCTTGAATAATACCCCGGATTAGGAAGAACACGACCAGTACCAGTACCGGTTGCAGAATACCCCATAGGCATAAATGAATTCGAATCCGAGGGATATCCTCTTCCTCCTCCCCATCTTCTCTCACGTTCCCTTTCTCTATCCCTCTCTCGAGCGCGTTCTCTTGCACGCTGGCGTTCCAAAAATCTCTCCCCGGGTCTTGAATACCAACTTTTTCCAGGTTTAGAACGAGGAGCAAACCGGAACATACGATATCGATCGCGTTTGCGTTGGTGTGGAAGTGGAGGAAAATAGGGATTTTGCTGTGAATCAATTCCTGAAGCAGAATATAACCGACTGGCAATACTCTCATATTCCCTCCCGGCACGTGGATAAGGAATAGCAGTGCCACTTCCACTTCCACTCCCGCTTCCTAAATCACTCGCAACTTCACTTCCCAAATCACTCATTTCTTCGCTCCCAATATCACTCCCCACGCCGGTGATGGTAACAGTCTCACTCATAACACCTCCATCAGCATAATACCCCTTTCCTCCTTTTTTTCTACGACTCATAATTCCACCTGGCACAATATCAGCAACAACACGATTGCCGACCCACGGCATGTGAAATATTTGTTTTAAAAGACGGAGGAATCCTCCTAGAGGAGAAGAGTAGGATAGGATCGATGAAGGACGTGGATGGGTGTGGTTACGTGCGGGCATTGGAAAAGTAGTATTGTTTTCTGGGACTCGTCCTTCTCTTTCTCGAGATCTCGATCGACTTTCTCGATAATAAGGATTGGCAACTCTTCGACCGTACGCGTCAACCAGTGCAGTCCAGCGTGTAAATACACGCGAAGCGGGTGGTGTCGGACCCGATGCAAATGAGGCATATGAATAGGAAGGTGTGTATGGGCCAGATGCACCTGTGAAGTTGTACGTGCCTGAGGCAGGAGGGGGCGGTTGTTGATAAGAAATTGATGTAGCGGAATAAGCAGGATCTTGGGTCCCTGCACCGGGCGTTTGAGAACGTCTAGATCGTGGAGGCAAAAATCGTGATCCAAATCCTGTCGCTGTTCTTGACGCTCGATCTAGGTCTTCTTGTGGAGTAGAATTTGACACCTGAGTTGGACCAGAACGTAATGCAGAAGGTATAGCACCTGTAGCAGGTGCGGGGGGTATAAAAGGCGATTCGGTAACTGATGTCGGTGTAGGAAGATGCTGGTCTCCTGAGAGTGAGAGGTAAGAAATATTGGACAAAGAGTTCTAACAAACGCACCTTCTTCCCCTTCCTCTGCGACGCCACCTAATCCACCAGGCATATTAACGCCCCCACCCGCACTCCCGTTCCTTGCTCTCCATCCCCTCGCACCCCTCCTCTCGCGTTCGTAATCATCAACTTCTCTCTCTTCCTCCGCGGCTCTAAGGGCTTCAAGCTCACTCCCGGTTGGTGCTGGAGGTGGTGGGTATGTCGGTGTCGCCGAAACTGATTCTTGAGAAATCGACGGTGGAATTGGATTTTGGGAGATTTGTGGTTCCGGAAACCCAAGAGGTACATTTTGTGATGGTGGTGGTACTGCAGCGGAATTTCCAGGAACTGGAATAGGCATCGGCGGTGGTGCTGACCCGGTATTTCTTCTCCGACCCCCAAGGGGGGGCAACGTCGTAGGAGGAGACGATGTAGCCCAAGGAACATACTTCCTCCCTAAAAAAAAGGAATAGAAGATATACAATTAGTGCCAAATTTGTCGAAACCCTTAACCCGAATCTAAATCTAAATTCAGCACGAAAAGCAACCCTCACCTGCACTTTTATCCGTACTAGATCTAAAAGCCCTATCACGCATAATTCTTTTGCGTCTCATATAATCTTGCAATAACAAATCTTCACGCGTTGGAATTCTTTCGTCTTCTGTTGCGTTTGTTAAAAAGGTTGGGACTTCACTTGGAGCGGGTGTTTGAGCTCGTAATGGATCGCGGGATGTGGGACGTGATGTGGTAGGACTGGGGTGGAGATGTGATTGGACCGCTGCATATGGATCGGGTGCAGTTCGGTCACCTCCACGTGCAGGTGAGGGAGGTGTTTGACGCGGTGTTGGAGTTTGATATGTAGAAGGACCGGCACCAGGCGTTCCCACTGGTGCACCA